TGGAACAAAGTACATTCCAGGTCAGCAAATTCCCACCTGATGCCCGGGGTGAGGCATGAGAGGCCCCACTATCTGGGCCACTTCCAAGGGGTACCTCCTCAGCCTACCCCCTGCAACCAAGGGTATCGTGGGGGCTTTCAGGTATGCAAATGTGGGCTTGGGAGGAATCCACACATGCTTCCTACTAGTCTTCTAGGGACCTGAGCCTGAACCCCAGGCCCTAATCCTGCCCTCAGGACCTGTACCGGGGACACAGAGGACAGCTCTTGTGAACAAGCCATGAAGGCCAATGTCCCCAACCCCACAGCAGCCCAGATGCTGGGGGTGGGGGATCCCAGGGGAGACTCAGAAAAGCCACAGCCCCAAATTTTCCACTTGTCAACCTTCACTGCTCATTAGAGCACCTGGGGATCTTTGAGAACTTGATACTTGGGCCCCCACTCCAGACCAATGAAATAGAGACACCAAGAGTGGGGCCCAAATGTCGGTATATTTTCTAAGGCTGCTCTGCAGCTGGAGGGGTCGGGGAAGGGGTAAGAATCCCCACCTGAAATGTATTCCAACCACAGCTGATGCTGTTAATTTTGTAGACATAACTGTATTACATCTCCTGGGGAAGGTGGTTTTCTTTTTTTCTGTTTTTATTCTTTTAGTTGTCTTGAAATTGTTTCTGATAACAGATTTAGAAAGCCCCTTCATGAGGCTGTTCCCTGAGGTGTCTGGGCTGTTTACAACAACTCTGCCCTGTCTGAGCAAGAGCATTCACCCACACCTACACCCCACTGGGGACCCAGGACAGAGCTGTCCGGGCACAGCCCTGGGCCTGCCCATGTAACAAACTGCAAATCGGAGATGAGGTAACCTCTCCCCGGAGCCCCTGCTTCTGGGAATTTCAGACCCACATGAGCTTGGCATGAAGTGATGGGGTGGCGGGAAGATACGGAGTCTCTGTGGGGTGTGTGACTGTGTGTGTGTGCACACACCTGTGCATGCATGTGCGGTGTGCTGCACGCTGTGCACAGGGGTGTGTGTGGGCCTATGTGTGGTGATATGGGCCTACACAGAGGGATGCGCATGTGTGTGCGCAGGCATGAGCTGTGCACACATGCATGGGTATGCATATGTGGCTGTACACTGGGGCATGCACGCATGTGCCCATGTGGGTATACGCAGGTACGTGTGTGTAGTTAAAGAAAAGCAGCAGGAGGTATTTCAGATCTTGGTACTTTACACTAGGGCCTCACCTTCAAGACCTCGTGGGTGCAGTGACCCCCATCTTCGCTGCTCTGGCCCCCTTATGAGCAATGGCAGCCTCAATAAACACAGGCTCAGTGCCACGCCCCAGAAGTGGCCAGAGGAGGAAGTGAAGTTCCCATCACTTAAGGAGACTTGTTGAGTACCTGCTCTCTCACAGAGAGATGGTTCCCTCAGTGTGGTTGTTGGGCTGTCACAAATGGGCGAAGTCTTCCCTCAGGAAGCAGTAAAGGAAGGAAGTTCTCCCCTCTCTGGCCCCAGAAGATACATGGCCAGAAGGGAGGAATCAAGCTGGATGCCATTTGATAAACATGAATTCATCTAACCTTGAGGCAGGTCAAGGGATCAGCAATGCTGACAGGATGCTCCACACTCACAGGGGACTTTGTGTGTGGCAGAGCCTGGGATGAGTAGTCCAGACAGCCCTCACCCCCAGGGGTCTTCCCACTTCATCTTGGGGGCTCTCGTGACCTAGGGGACAAGGGCCCCCAGACCCTTACTTGCTGCTCTGCCCTAGACAGGTCTGGCTCATGGCTACCCACAGCCCTTGACCACACCATCCACAAACTGCCCAAGATTTCTTTGACTTCCCAGACACTGGGTCCCTTTTCTCTTTCCTCCTCCTCACCCCCACCCTACTTGACTTTCCTGTAGGAAGCTTCAAGGCCAAGCAAAGACGCTTCTTTTCATTATTTGCAAACATTAGCAGCATTCTGTTTCACAGTGTTGATTCATCTGGGTCCTCTGTTCAGAGGGAGCAGGGGGTGAGCAGCAGGGTGTGCTGGCGGGTGGCAAGTGGGCACACTCAGCTCTGAAGTGGCCTGCACAATGTGAACAGCTTGGTCTGATGACAAAATGCCACCAGGGTGAAAGCCAGAGTGAGGGACCATGGTGGTTCCCTCTCCCAGCACTGAGTAGCTCATCGACAGGTTCAGCACCAGCACATGGGGACAGCTCCCTGCCCAGTTCCTTCCCACTCAGGGGATATTCAGCCAGATTTGGGAGTGGGGGGAATGCTATTCCCAGATGTCACCTCTTCCCCAGAACCTGCTGCCCCCAACCTGGGATTGTGCTTCCCAGCACTGCCACAATCGTGCAGCCCCCTCATTAGTCCTTGTCACCTTCTCCCCCTTCAAAGTGGATCCTCTATATATACTGTCCCTCTCTGAAGACACTTCTCAACTTTCCTAGGCCTACTGGAGTAGTGCATCAGCCTAAAAGAATTACTCCAGTGGTGTGAATTGCAAGCCACGGGAATAAAAACCTTCAAACCACTAGGTCATTTAGTGGCCTCCCCCTATGCAATACAGCTGGGTCCTAGTACTGCCCTCCGATTGAGCTCATGAGAAGCGCTACTCGAGTTACTGGCAGACTCCAAGTTGCAGGTGAAAACTGCAGAGGCTGAGTAGCTGCCCAAGACCACGCTGACCTAAAGACTGTCAATGGCTTTGTCCCCATCGGCATCCTCCTCTCTCCAACACTCCTGTGCTAAAGAGCATCAGCATTCATGGCCAGGACAAAATGCTGATCAGAGATGGGCAGGCTCTGGACAAGAATCACATTTTAGCTTGAAAACCATCCTCAGAATAAGTTAATGGACTGATGAAGAAAAGTCTATTTGTAGGCAACACCTCTGGGGCCTTCCTTAGTCATGCCCTATAAGAAAGAGGAATAGAAAACCACAAAGCACAAACCCCTAACCATAAAGAAAAAGAAAAAGATCGATGACTTTTTTTTTTTAAGATTTTTTTTTTTTAATTTATTTATCAGAGAGAGAGAGAGAGACAGAGGCAGGCAGAGGGAGAAGCAGGCTCCTTGCTCAGCAAGGAGCCCGATGTGGGACTCGATCCCAGGACCCAGGGATCATGACCTGAGCTGAAGGCAGATGCTTAACCGACTGAGCCACCCAGGCGTCCCAAGATCAATGACTTTGATTACATTAAATTAAGGCCTACTGTTCCTTGGGAGGAAGGAAGGAAGGAAGGAAGGAAGGAAGGAAGGGAGGGAGGGAGGGAGGGAGGGAGGGAGGGAGGAAGAGGGAGGGATGGGGAGAGAGAGAAAGAAAGAAAAAGAAAGAAAGAAAGAAAGAAATTACAAAGACAAGCCACCAATTAGGAGATTTTTCAACAGATATAATAAGTTGAATGGGATTTATACCCATCGTACATAAAAAACACCTACAACTCAATAAGGAAAACATAAACAACCCAGCAGAAAGGTGGGCAAATGACATGAATGGGCATTCCATCAAGAGGAAAGAAGGACAAGCATATGACAGAATGCTCAGTCTCATTAGCTGTCAGGGAAATGCAAGTTAAGAACATAACAAGATATCATGACGCCACTAAACATCCTCAATTAGGAAGTGTAATAACCCTACATGTGGGTGACCACATGACCACTGGGAACCTCCAAGTGGTGAGGCTAAATTGGTGCCATCACTTAGGAAAACAATTAGCATTATCTTATAAAGCTGAATTTGCACACACCATTAGTCCCAGCAATTGTGCACCTGAGTCTATACTGAAGAGAAACTCAGTCTCTACCCAAGAGAAACTGTGACACAGTTTCCTCAGGTACAGGCATGTCTACCACAGCGTCATTCAGAATAACTTACAAAAGCAGGGGGAAACTGTCCACAGTCAGGAAGAACCGAAAAATAATGACGGACCATCCACATAATGAAATTTCATACAGCAGTGAAAATGAATAAAACAGAGTTACGTGGAATAACATGAATGAATCTTTGAAACATAATAATGGGTGAAGAAAGCATGTCTCAAACATTACATATAGCAGATGCCATTTATACAAAGCTCAAAGCAAACCAAATTAAAACTAAACCATATACTGTTTATGGATACCTGAGTATGTAAAACACACACACATACACACACACAGACAACAATTTCTTATTTAAAAGCAAAGAAATGATAAACACAAAATCCAAGTTGCAAGTTTCCTCTAGGGGGAGGCAGAGGGATTGATGAGAGAAGGACACCAGGTGGGCACAAGAGTCCTGGGAATATTCTTTCTTTAAACTGGACGACAGAATTATGGGAGAACACCCTATTCTTGCACTTCCTAATATCATGTTACAGACATTCTTGTGTGTATTGAATATCATATAATAAACATCAATAAATAAATGAACGAAAACTGTCTGTACTTCTATATCCCGCAAATGCAGCAGTTAAACCTAACCAGACTTGAATGCAGGTCCACACACACACACACACAAACACACACACACACACATAATCCTCCCCCCTCTCATCACCATCTCCCACCTCCAAGAACATCAGGGGGACTCTGGAAAGGCAAGCATCGGGGAAAGGACAGGCATCACAGGCTCACCTCACCACCCTCCAGGTCTTACCAGCTCCCAGAATAGGTCTAGGAAGGAGCCCAATTCCAGAAGAAAAACCCCAAGGCCGCACAACGCCCACCAAAGACAGGTAGAGAGGACACCGTCAGAGAGGACCTGGCTCAATTCCACAAGCCAGTATTTGTCAGCCCCTGAGTGCGAACACTGGGGCACCTATTAGCCCAAGATGGAGAAAAGGACCTTTGAACAGCACTATGCAAATATGCTTCCTTGGTGCATCCCAAACATGACCAGGCATCAACATGGAGGAAGAGGAGGCAATGAGGAATGTCACTATCCACAGTATACCAGGAAGCCTCCCAGGGACCGGCAGCTGGAGCAGGTTCCCCTTCCTCTCCTCCCCTCCCCCAGCACTCACCTCTGCAGCTCCTTCAGGGACACTGTGATCCGCAGGCCATGGCCCAGGACGTAGAGAGTGGCCAAGATGTCTGCCCACTGCACCATCTCACCCAGAGGCCCGCCCTTTAGCACCCTTGGGCTGAACACGTCACCAGACTCCTCCGTCAGGAAGCCGATGTGAACAAGGATCTGGGGAGGACACAGAGTCAGTGTGGAGGAGGAGCAGCATTGCCCTGCCACCCCCAGGGGGACCCGACCAGCAGCAGCCACTGTCCCCAGGCTGTGCCTGGGCAGGTGCTTTCTGGCACCAGCAAGGGGACCAAGAGGCAGAGTGACCACACTGGGCACTGAGGATCAAAGTGAACAAGACGGTCACATCCTGCCCTCAAGGTGCTTACGTTCCAGATAGAAGAGGTAGACAACAGTAAACACAGACAAGAGATAATTTCATGAAATGATAGGGACTCTGAAAGAAATAAACAGGGTGATGTGAGAGTCAGATAAATATTTATTGGATGGACAAATGTGGATGGAGAGATGGGTGGATGGATGGGTGGATGGATGGGTAGATGGATGGGTGGATGGATGGATGGACCTACAAACCTCCCCAAAACAGGCTATATTATTCCCAATATTCCAGGCAAAGGCCATGACCTTTCTGCCTGAAAAGAACGAGATGTCTACAGAACAGAACCCCTACATGGTGGAGGGGAGGGTTTGTCATTCTACTCCAAACGTAAAAAGGGCCAGGGGCCACCACATGCACCTATCCTGACTCTGCCTCCCTCACCCCAGCTGAAATTCAAATAAACTCAATAAAACCTTTCCAAGGGCAGACCTGGTGCCCACTTGAAGGCCTGGGGCCCTGAGCTCATTTCCTAAGCTCTCTGAGCACGGCGCCCTGAATGCACAGAGAAGCAGTACCTGCTTCTGGTCCCTCCAGACGCTTCCCAGCTTCCGTGCCAGCCGCTGGGCAGCCAGCGCCCACTGGGCCGTGAGCCGCTTGGTCCGTTTCTTCATGAAGATTAGAGACTCCTTCCCACTGCCCATCAGCTCCAGGAGGTGGGACAGGTTGCTCCGGAAAACTGCCTGGAGGGGGGCCCAGACCTGGGTTCTCTGGCCCTCAGCCCCATAGCCGTGCCACCACCATCACCTGCTACCCTGGGAACAGGGCCTGGCACCCTCCCTGGGAGGCTGGGGCCTACTCTAACTTCTCCTGCCATTTATAAAGGCCCACTGGCCCCCACCGTCGGGGAGCCCTGCTCTCACCCACCAACACTAACCCCCAGCCAAGCTGGTCTGTCCCAGCCCAGCTCTGGTCATCCTTCTGTTCCGAGCCCTTTGGGGGGTGGTCAGTGATGGCAGTCCCCAGGAGTCTGGCAGCTACACCAAGGCAGGGAGGGTGGCGGTCAGAGCTGGTGCTCGGACGGCAGGGAGGCCGGGCCCCCTTTCAGTGGAGCTGCAGTAACTGGATGCCTTGAACAAATTAACCGCGCTCCCTAGACCTCAGACTTGCCATCTGTTCAGTGTGGTCGCATAAGGGACCGCTGGGAGGTTTAAGTACAAATAAAGTATCTGGAAGCCTTCCAGGAGCGACAGCTATTGTTACTCTTATTCTAGTCCGTTTAGGGGGTGCCTCCAGGGCCCCAGCTTGCCCCTCAAGTAGGCCAAGTTTTGCAGCATCCCCAGAAGGCTGGCAGGCTGGGACGCACCCCCCACCAGGCACAGCGGGCTGGCCTCATTTTATCAGGGGCAAAGGGCTCCTCCTGCTGTCCCTTAAGGATGCCCCACCCGAGGAGGCCAGTTGACCTGTCCACCAGCCCCTCATGGACCCACCCACTTCCCAGGCCTACCTGGACTTTGGGGAGGGGCTTGGGGGCCGTCTGGGCAGCCGTCTGGTTCCTCCAGGGCAACGGGGGACAGAACCACTCAACCTCACTGAGGTAGATGAGGAAGGAACACTCGGTGCCGTCCACCCCGAAGAAGGCATAGCAGGGGTCCGAGGTCCAGCGGGCACGCATCCACTGTGGAGAGGGCCAGCCTAGGCCAGGGTGCTGGCACCAGCCCCACCCATACCCTTGGGAGGCTCTTTGCAGGCATGTCCTTGGGGACCCGAGGTCCCTCAGGACAGGACCTCTGGGGCACACACTTAGAGACGCAGCAAGGGCCAGGAGCAGAGAGAGGCTAGACCAGAACCCCATGACCCAGCCTTCTGTCCTGGCCACTGAGAACCTCAGGAAGGGCTGAGCAGGACCACTGTCCACCAGGCCCAGAAAGAGTAGGACCCCGGCAGAATAAGGCCAGGTCACAACACACTCAGGGAAAGCTCTGGGGCAAACAGTGGGAGATGCAGCAACTTGGGGCCTGGCTGGTCTCCACCGGGAGCAGGATCCCGTTGAGGCCAAGGTCAGGAGCAGCCTCCAAGAACCCAAGGGCTGGAGCCAGAGTGGGCCCCACCCACAGTGATCCCCACATATCACCAAGGAAGGGGCACACACGGCCACTGCTCCACACTCTTAGGGAGTTCAGAACCAGTGAGGAGCCAGCTTTTATGCCATGGCCTGCATTCCCAGAGGGACAGACTTCATGCAGTCATGGGCCCCTGGAAGTGAGCCCCCAGAGGAGGGGCCGGGGGGCTTTCTCAGTCCAGCTGGTTGCAAGGATGGGGAGGGATGGGGAGACAGGCCCACTCAAGAGATCCAGTGTGTGTCTGAATTTTTTGGGATGCAGGCTGCTGGAGGTGTTATTAACAGTTTGTCTGCTCTAAGAAAGTACTGAAAACCCTGAAACGTGATCATCCTAGGCAATGTGGGTTGGTGGGCCAGGCAGACGGCCCAAGCAGAGAGGCCGTCTCCCTGAGGCTGGCCTCTGCCAGCTGGTACCAGGGTCAGGGGCTGGGGGCTGGGCGGAGAAGTCCTCACCAGCAGACATCCCTGCCAGGAGCAGAATCTCAGAGCTAGTGTGGGGGCAGGGTCCCCAAAGAGGAGCCTGCCCCTCCCCCGGTCACCTCTACCCCCATCCTCAGCCCCAGGCCTCACCTCCACCTTCCCTGAGCAGTCAGGGAACTTGGGGTCACTGGGTGCCTCACACTGGTCCCGCCGGCCTTCAGACACTGCAGGGGGAGAAGGTCAGCTTGCTGAGGGCCCGGGTCTAGGGAGGAGCCCCATGAAGTGTGAGGGAGGCCTGGTCTGCGGGGGAGGGGTTAGCTCGGGAGCACACCCCGCCCTCCCTCCCCTGAGTTTTCTCACCAAAAAAGCCACCCGCCAGGGAGTCCCCAGGCCTGGGTTTCCCCCTCTGCCACAGGCCCTCGCCCTCTATATGGGCTTTGGAACCAGTGAGGAGCCAGCTTGAATGGCTATGGACCAGTGTCTGGATAGGCAGACCTCATGCACCCACCCAAATATAACCCTCTTAGGGGGGCCCCCAGCCTGCTGCTCCTCACATCAAGAAAAATGAAGGGGGCCCCCGGGGACTCCAGGACCTCTGTTCTCACACCAGGTCACAGTGGGGTGAACCCCAAGTCACCCCACTAAGAGCCTGAGGCCGGAGCTGGAAGCGCTGCTGTGGGGAGCCATCAGGGCCACCCAGTACACTGGCCTCCTGGGGGCAGAGGGCGCCCTGGGCCCCACCCTTGGTGTGCAGGAGCAGACTGTGGCGCAGGATCTGGTCCACCTTCACGGCGATGTCGGACACGTTCTGGGCGATGGCCTGGATCCGCTCCATGAGGCCGGTCCCAGGGGGAAACCTAGTGAGAGAAGCCAGGGGTGAGCCCGCACAGCCCACCTCAGGGGCCTTCCTGGGAGGGACAAGCAAGGGCAGCCGGTGTGAGCGCTCCAGGTGCCCGGACACCGCCCTGCCACGAACCGAGACCCAGCAATGGATAGCGCTGGGCCTGGAGGTGGAGGCGTGTGCCCCTGCCCCCCGTTGGAGGGGCTCTCTAAGCACCCACGGCACACGCACATGCGCGTGTCCCAGGCATGTCTGCACACTCATCCCCACGTGCCCCACCTGCTGAGGGGCAGCAACTGAAGCTAAAGCAGGCAGAGGGATTCTATTGGAGAGCCGGGGCAGGATCGGGCCCGGGACCCCCAGGCGAAGGAGGCCTTTCCTGGGCATGGCCGGCTGCCCTGAGCCTGTTTTCTCCGTTTCCTCCCAGAGGGGCTACATCGTGCCAAAATAAATTCCACCCAAAGCAGCCTGGGGACTTGCCAACTATTAAGCCTCTAGTAAATTATTGCTGGGCTCCTGAGCCTGAATTCTTCCCAGGATCTTAAAAGCATTTACTGCCACAAACATCACAGCCCTCCACCCACCACCAATACTCGCATTGCCTTTATTTTTGGAGAAATTATTTCCTGGTGTTGATTATTACTCAACTCTCAGAGAAGTTTATGAGACATCATATGCGGGATTTATCTCATTGCGAAGGCCTGTGTGGAGATGGACCCCACTCTGCCGGTGCATGGGCTTTCTCCAGAAGTTGCCTACTCTTTCCAACACGTTAATTCCATTCCTTTGATTCACACTTCGCCCTCTGGCTCTGCGCGCCTTGTTTAAGCTCCATCTATCCCTTTATAAGGACGGAGACTTTTTTGCCACACAAAATGGGAAGTACAGGAGGGAGGACTCCTCTCGGGTGATCTGTCCTCCAGAGGACAATGGTGACGGCTGCCTGCCCCCTCAGGCCGCCCTCCCCTCCCACCGCTGCCTTCCTCGAGGAGAGGACGAGTGGCGGCCCCATCCACAGAGGGTGTGGGAGACAGGGGGGCAAGGCAGACATGGCGTGGGGTGGCCACAGAAGGAAGAAGGTGGCAGGAAGGGGCACACGAGCCCTCGACGACACACACACACATGCATGTCCATACACACACACACACACCCCCCACACACAATCCCATCAACCCTCTCAAAATCAAACAAAAACCTAATGGAAGGCGGCATGCCTTGGCCATGGTAACACACTACCACACATTTATTCCCTCGCAGTCCTGGAGGCCAGGAGTCCAAAATCAAGAGGTCAGCAGGGTGGGCTCCTTCTGGGACGAAGGGAGAGAGGAAGACTCTCCCCAGCTTCGGGTGGGGCTAGCTGTGGCTAGTGGGGCACATCACCCAGCCTCTGCCTCTGCCATCACTTGGCCTTCTGTGTGTGACCAAATTCCCTCGTTTTACAGGAACCCCATCAATGGATGAGGGCCCCCCTGATCCAGTGTGACCTCATTTTAATTTGATCACATCGGCCAAGGCTCACTTCCAAGTAAGATCAGGTTCATAGGCACCGGGGATCCAGATGTCGACATATCTTTTTGGAGGGCACAATTCAGCCACAGCAGCATTCTACGAGACTACAAATAAGGAGAGGACTCAAGATGATGCTTCTTTTGCTCAGAAAGTCCTCAGACAGGAGGAAGTAGGGAGAGCTCTCCTTGGCCTTCAGATGGCCGCGGAAGGCCGTGGGGAAGAGAGAGGTCAGCATCCCTCCAGTTTACAGTAAAACAGAAGAGCTGAAGATTTGCCTCTTAGGAGCAGTGTGACCCCAGGCAAGTCACTTAGCCTCTCTGTGCCTCCGTGTCCTCCTCTTTAAAAACGGAGGCCTGCACAGGCAGGCCACCACTGTCAGCCTTGTGGTGAGGCTGAAGCTGCAGCCAAAGGGGTTTGGGCCAGCCCGGCACCGCTTCTCTACCTCTCCTCATTATCACCCCCGAAGGAGCCTTTGTAGACATATTTGCCCCCACTCACCTCCTCCACGAAAAGTGAAAACCAGGGACATGCCACTGCTCTGTTAACACACTGTGGTCTGTGAGGGCCACAGGCTGCTGTGACCTCGCAGATAACTTCCTCCTCATGAACGAGACTTCACCCTTGAGGGTGATATGTACCCATGGAGGATGCCCCTGATGTCTGTGGGGCTCTGCAGTCAGTTCCGAGCGAGCGTTCTGGAGCTGGATGGACACTCCTCTGCCTGGAAGCAACATTCCGCTGACCGCAGGAGGTGGCCATCGTGCGGAAGGCCAGAAGCTCGCGGCTGCTAGGTCAGGGATGGTGCTGAGCATGGGCGGCCAAGGAGCACAAGGGGTGCTCCCGGGCAGGGAAGGACCCGGTACCCCTCCCAACTTCTAACCAGAGACCCCAGAGCACAAATAACCCTTGTCAGGGATGAGTGGGGGGGGGTCCTGCCAGGTCCCTGGAGACTTTGGAAGGGACCCTACTTCAAGCCTTCCTGAAGGTGCCTCTCCCTCGAGGCTCTGCTCCATCCACCATTTGGGAGCAAGATCACTTCTCCGAGTCCCCCTACGTGCTGGGATGTGCTTGTGAGTGGGCAGCTTGAAACCCCCAGTGGAGTCCTGGGGCACCTGGCTGGCTCAGTCTGTGAAGCATGTGACTCTTGATCTTGTGGTTGTAGGTGTGAGCCTTATGCTGGGTGTAGAGATTATTTAAAAAAAAAAAATTTTTTTTTAAGATTTTATTTATTTGAGAGGGTGCAAGAGAGAGAGAGAATACACGAGCAGGGGCAGAGGGAGACGGAGAAGCAGGCTCCCTGCTGAGCAAGAAGTCCGATGCAGGGCTCGATCCCAGGACCCCAGGATCATGACCCGAGCCAAAGGCAGATGCTTAACTGACTGAGCCACCCAGGCACCCCAAAAATAAAATCTTAAAAAAAAAAAAAAAAGGAAAGGAAAGAAACCCCCAGTGGAGTCCTGAGTCCTCAAGGACAGGAACGTGCTTTTGGATGGAGCCTGGCACTGCCTGGCATGGGCCACATACCCAGAGCTCCATCCCTGTGCTGGGCTGAGTAGAGTTCCCCTCCCTCCAGATTCACATCTACCCAGAACCACAAAAAAATGTGACCTTATTTGGAAATAGGGTCTTTGCAAATGTAATTAGTTGAGATGAGGTCATGCTGAATCAGGTTGGGCCTCAGTTCCGTTCCTGGTGTCCTTATGAGAAGGCCACGTGAAGACGCGCTGGGGACGGCCGCCACGGGACGGCGGAGACAGACTGCAGGGAGGCATCCACAAGCCAGGGGCCACCTGAGCCACCAGGAACTGGAAGAGGCAGGGAAGGATCCTCCCCTAGAGGCTTCGGAAGGAACAAGGCCTTGCTGAAACCTGGCTTTCAGACTTCAGCCCCCAGAACCAAGAGAGGAAATCATTTTTATTATTTTAAACCATCCAGTTTGTGGTCCTTTTTTATGGCAGCCCAAGAAAAGTAATGCATCACTGAGGGAAAATGGTTTTTAGTCCATCACAAAAGGAGAGTCCGCACCTGGGTGGCTCAGT